CCTTTGACTTATCTTCACATAGATGGAACTGGTAAAGAAAAGGGCTCCTCCCTTCCTCCTAATCCCATGTGACCCCTGAGGAACAAATCCTTAAACGACCTTAAGTGTAAATATAAACTGATTTATTTGGGCCAAATGTATGGTCTTAAACAGCCCAAAGGAAAGTACAACCAAAGAGTAAAGTGATCAGTATATTTCTTTAAGAGTTCAAGGGATTACACTTCTAAAGGCTACATAACAAGAAACAATGCCAGACAGGAGATACCTTCCTTCCGGTTGTTGGCCAGGGTGGCCCAAGAGACTCCCAGACAGTAACACAGCAGAGAACTCAGAAGATGAACAGCAGACCCCAATCATATCTAAAGAAACTTTGGCAACTGATTGCTGCTAGATGAGGAAGAGCTGATCTTCCTAAAACAAGGGACTCTAGACAGGCTGACTAGACTCAACGGATGGGCTTGCACTGTGGAACGGCTGGGGGCACTGACAAAATAGCAGACAGCAACAGGGATGACAAAGTATAAGGGCTCCAGTGGGGGGGGCAGGGCTATGGGAGGGTGTCATTTGGGATGCGGGTATGAAAAGGAGTAAGATTGTTTGGGATGTTCTGTATGAAATACACACACACACAAAAAAAAAACAAAAATAAACAGAAACAAATAAAAGCTCATTTAAAGATCTGTTTTGTTTCTTGGTGTGTAAACAATGTTGCAACATTGTTCAATCCAAGACATTCTTCAGAGTAAGGTTTGGCTTAGCTTAAAATTACTGGGAATAGAAAGATCATCAGTACATCTCTTAGAATATGGTCTAATGGGCTAAGTGCTCAGAACATTCTTCAGAGTAAGGTTTGGCTTAGCTTAAAATTACTGGGAATAGAAAGATCATCAGTACATCTCTTAGAATATGGTCTAATGGGCTAATAGTGCTCAGATGGAAATTCTTAGCTCTCCCAAAGGTCAGTTAGGTGAAAGCAATGAGTATTTTTGTACTTCTCAGGAAACCAAATGCTTTCCCCTTAGAAAGCTGAAATGAATTTATTAAAAGGGAATAGGATACAGACATTCACCAGTGCAACAGATTCAAGATATATCATTCAAACACACAAAGACTGATCTGAAACTTTAGAGAAAACAAAAATAAACTGTTTAAGCAATCTGAATTTTGGGTATTAAAACAATATATAAACTCCCTGGATATGTAGCACAATAAGGACATGTCAAGTGTTATGGAGCTCTGAAATACAAATACATTATTTGGGGATGTTGTTAATCAGTATCATATAACAAGATATTTTTATACCTTTATCAATCATGAGGAAATTGATATTGCCACTCAACAGTAGTTATAGAATAGATGATCTGAGCAAGGATTAAGCACCAAGGTAATTTGGACATTATGGAAGTGTAACATCAATGGAATAAATATCTGTTCTTTAAAATATCCATTGTGTGAATAAGCATAACAGATTTCCCACACTTTACAGTTTAAAGTGCACCACCTTGTACTTTTCCTTATTTAACTTTTACACCATCTTCTGCATTGGGTACTACTATCTGTAATGTACAGATGATAAAATTAAATCTTGAAAAATTCATTAGCTTGGCAAAAAGCTGATTAACAGAAAATTCTTCATTTTAAATTGAATTCTCAGGTGTGAGTTCCAATTCCTATACTTCAGTTGTCGTGTTGATTATAAAATTTTATTCCAGGAGAATGTCTTCATTTAAACTAATGATGGGGCAATGCATCAGTCCACGTTCCTTCAAAACACAACATAAAAGGGTTTCAGATCATTTAGTCAATAGGCAACTGGTTCCATTGCTTTCAGGCCTCTGGCAAGACAGAAACATCATTGCAAAATAGCATGGTGGAGGAAAGCTGCTCAGTTCATGACAGCAAAGCTGCTCACTTCATGGAAGCCAAGAAGCATCGATTCCAAGAGAGGTCAAGACATAAGGTACCCTTCAGGAATATGCTCCAACTGACATTTTTTATCCAACCAGGTACCATTGCTTAATAACCTAATCAACTATGAATTCATGAATTAATTCATGAGGTCAGTGTCCTTATGATCCAATCACCCCTCTCAATTGCACTAGCAGCCAGAGACTAAGCATCCAACACATGAGCCTTTTGGAAGGCACTTCATAGCTAAAGCATAACGGGCAGTAAGCTGGACAGAATCAGTGAAGGTTCTCTATACAAAGAAACTTAGAAATCCAAAATTATCAAGAAGTGAGGTTTTCCAGTTGTTGAAACTTTGTGGGATGGTTGACATGTTGATATGTATTCATCCATTTTGTGACAATGTAAATAACTCATCTGGAAAGGTAATTGAATTTTAGTGACTTTTGGAGTAACCCAAAGAAATATCTGTTGCTTGATAACTCAACAAGCTTCCAAACCAGAATTCTAGCCATTGATTATGATGATTCAGTAATAATATATATATATATATGTGTGTGTATATATATATATATATATATGTAAACCAAACTTATACTGAATTCAAGATGTATCAAGGGTGTCACTAGAAAAAAAAAATCCGTGAACGAGAGCTTACTGTATTACTTGCTTTTTCTGCCTAGAGTCAATGCCAAGAAAAAAATTCTATCAGTGGTATTGATAAATTTAGCTATTGATGATATATATTTTTAAATGTAAGTTGATCTCCCATTCCGTACATATAGACAGAAAGCCAAAAGTCACAGATAAAATAGAAAGTAAATAAATTGAGAAGCATAAGTCAAGAAAAAAACACTCTCATTTCTTGGAGTCTTCAGTAAAGACAAAGAAATAAGCAGATGAGACTCTCTTAACTGGAAAAGGAGAATACAAGAATGTATAACCTCTTTAAACACCTACATGATCATCAGATTTCTATTACACATAGATAGTAGGTAGAAAAGATAACTCTTGTGAGAGTAACTCTAGAACCATTCTAGTATGCTAAGGCAGAAATCAAATGGCACTGAAAACACAGTGGACAGTAACAAGGATGACAGAGTATACGGGCTCCAGTGGGGGTGGGGGGGAGAGGCTACGGGAGGGTGACATTTGGGATGCAGATATAAAGATGAATAAGATTGTTTGGGATGTTCTGTATGAAATACATACAAAAAAAATCAATAAATAAAAAATGAGTTATATTTAAAGAAGCACAAAAATTTCCTTCATGTTTATTAGTAGATATGAAAAACATTACCATTGAAATCTACCTGATGAATTTTTATCTGTGCTCAGGTGTCAAGGATCTCAGAAAATAACTGTGACTAGTAATAATCAGATATATAGAGATTAGAGATGCATGTGCAAACATCTAAGTGTTAGTTGCATTAAAAATGAGGGTTTTATTGTATGAAACAGTATAATTTAAAATGAAATGGGAATCTTTTTTAAAGGTTAAAACCTTGGGCTGGAGAGATGGCTCAGCAGTTAGAAGCACTGACTGCTCTTGCAGAGGACCCGGGCTTGATTCCCAGGACCCACATGGTGGCTATGAATCGTCCTTAATTCCAGTTCCAGGAGAATCCCAAAGCCCTCTTCTGACCTGCACGGCACTGCATGGCACAGGCGCACTCACATACATGCAGGCAATACACTCATACATTTTAAAAAATAAAAATAATTTTTTTTCAAAAAAGGTTAAAACCTCAATTTTTTGTCTTATACAGTTTATACTGAGAACAATAATATATAACTGTATTAATTCAACACTGTGAACCTAAAAATTACAGTCAATTTTGAAAGACGTACATCTTTGCTCTGGAAACTGTTATTGACTACGTCAATACTGTTGTAATGAAATGCTTCTACTAATTATGTGGCTATTAAATAAATTTTTAAAAATAAAAAAAACAAAAACAAACAGCCAAGCATGGTGGCACATGCCTTTAATCCTAGCAATCAGGAGGCAGAGGTAAGCAAATCACTGTGAAATCAAGACCAGCCTGGTCTACATAGTCAGGCCAGCTTGGTGGGGGGGCTATAAAGAGACCCTGTCTCAAAAAACAACTCCAAACCAAAACAGAATAAAACAACAACAACAAAACAACTTAACCAAGGACTGTGAAAACTATTAAAAATTGATTCCAGGCCACACAAGACAATTATCTTAAAGCAATTATATTAAAGTTTATCTTACTGTGCCTTTCAGACTGCTTTAGCATAGACTGCATTTATATTCTAGTTTTAAAAACTTACTGAATTATTAGAAATTAAAATACACATGAATTTACTGTTTAAGGAGTTTGATAAAAAATTATATATTTTTATAAGTCAACTATACTCAAAATAATTTTGAAAGCTCTCATATTCTATACATTTTAATAGCTAATATTCTTGCTATTATCTAACTAGAATTTCTCTAACCATAAGCCTTGATCTAATCCATAACTATGCTTGAATTAAGACAAGCTTTAAGTTGGGAGTGATGGTGTACTCTGATCTCAGTAATAGCAGGAAGAGACAGGTGAATCTCTGTGACTTTAAGGCCAGCCCAATTTACATAGCGAGTTTCAGGCCAGTCATGGCTACACAATGAGAGTCTGTCTCAAAAAAAGAGAAAAGAACAAAACAAAAGACATGTTTTATGCATACAGGACAATACTCTTCATATCTTAAAATATTTATTAAGCCATACCTTGGCCATCTTTCCAATAAATAGCCCCATCTCTTTTCCCTTTTCTCAAAGGCCATACTTTCAAGCCTTTGTGAATAATGCGCATGTGTGTGTATGTTTATATATAAATTTTTCTTTTCCAAATGTAGCTTGACTTTGGCAATTACTAACAGTAAAAAATACCAACTATGCACACACAAAGCATGCTTTATAGAATCAGCTTTACACAACAGATAAGAAATCAAGAAAACTTTACTATCTTTAAATTTTTCAATAATTGGTCCAAAGATGATCCTAAAAATCAATAATAGATACATTAGAGTTATATTTTGTACAATTTATGATTGGAGAAAAGCAAACTAAAAATTACATGAGGATTGCTTCTCAACATTTGACTAAGATCAAGTACAGTATCTGTTCTTATCTAATGGCTGATGTACCCTCTATCTGAGGACAATATACTAAATGGATTTGTGGTTCTGGGAGACAGAATAGGAGCTTGCTCCATCCACTCCATGCATTGATCTAGTATGGCAGCACCTTCTAGAACAGCGCAACACCACCTTTAGGGGAGTGTGAATGAATGAACAAATTAATGAATCGATCAATTAAATAACTTTTGTAGAAACATGACAATACTAAGTGCTGAGAATGATGCAGACCTGAAACTCTTACACTGCTATAAGGAATACAAAGCTGTATTGTTACTTTGGAAAACTGACAATCTAATACAAAGATAAAGATAAACATAAAATTATCATACAATCCAGAAACTACAATCCTAGACTATCATTACACTTATATGTAGCCCTGAAACTCACTATGTAGACCAGGCTGGCCTCAAATTCACTGAGATCCCATGCCTCTGCCTGGGATTGAAAGTACGGGCCACCATGCTCAAATACATTTTACTAAGTGAAAGAACTGAATATAAGCTACAATGTATATGATTCCATAAGTGAATTTGGGGCTGAAAGGTGTGATTAACCTGGTTTTGGTCTTGATCCTATCTTCCATGTATTGAAAAACAAGAGAACATATTAAAGAGTGAATTTCACTGAAGCTAAGAATCTCTATTCACACAGGAAGTGTTTCATACCTCACATTAGTTTCATCATTAAATTCTTCAGCCCATTTCTTCCTCGACTGTGCAGTAGTAGAACCATCTAAGCGGTAATAGTCAATATTTCGGAGCCACTTCCCTTCACCTGAAATTTTAATAAGGAAACACAGAAAGGAATTTGATACATTACTCTGCTAGTAGTGGTAGACTTTCCTCTTTGAGTACCATTTAAAAGTGGGTGAAATCCAGAAGGATGGCTGAGTGAGTAGAGGCTCTTGCTGCCAAACTTGACAACCTGAATTTGATCTCTAAGACCCACACGGTGGAAGGAGGCATCCCCCAAGCTACCCTCTGATCTCCACTCATGCACCCATACACATATGCACACATATACATGATAAAACAAATAAATATATGTATATAAATAAATGTAATAAATTTTGAAGTAGATGATAGGCCAGAGTTAGTGGTACATGCCTATAATCTCAGCTCTATAAAGGACTGAAGGAGGAGAATTCCAAGTTACAGGCCAGCCTGAGACTACATAGCTAAACACTCTCAAAAATCAAAGATGTACCTCAGTTAGCAGAGTATTTGTCTGGCATGCATTAAGACCTGGGTTTGATCCTCAGCATGGAATAAATCCAGGAATGGTGGGGTATGCTTATAAGGCCAGTACTTGGGAGGCAGAGACAGGCAGATCTCTGTGAGTTCAAGGCCAATCTGCTCTACATAGTAAATCCAGGCCAGCTGTGACTACAGGGAAACCCTGTCTCAACCCCCCGCCCCCCCAAAAAAAGCCTGGCTGGGGCTGGAGAAATGTCTCAGCAGTTAAGAGCACTGGCTGCTCTTACAGAGGATCTGGATTCAGTTCCCAGCACCCCTATGGCAGCTAACAACCATCCATAACTCCAGTTCCAGAGTATCCCATGCCCTCTTCTGACCTCCACAGGCACTGCATGACACAAGTGCACTTACATACATGCAGGCAATACACTCATACACAAAAAATAATAATAAACAAAATATTTAAAAAATAAATAAAGCTGGGGAGATGACTCAGTGCTTGCTGTACATGCATAAGGACCTGAGTTCAGCACCTGAGTAAAAACTGGGTGTGGTGATGAGCCCTTGATTCCAGGGGCTCACTAGCCAGTCAGTCTAACTGAACTATGAGCTCCAGTTCAGTAAGAACTCTGCCTCAAAAAATAAAATGGGGGAGGGGGCTGGAGAGATGGCTCAGTGGTTAAGAACATCTGCTGTTCTTTCAGACGACCTGGGTTTGGTTTTTCAGCACCCACATGGTGGCTCACAACTGTCTGAAACCCCAGTTCCAGAGGACCCAATGACCTCTTCTGGCCTCCTTGGTCACTGCACACATGTGGTGAACATACATACAATGCAGGTAGAACACTTGCACATTTTTTAAAAGGTGGAAAGTAATTGAGAAAGTTAGCTAAGGCTGACCTCTAGCCTCCATACAAGCACAGGTGAGCACACCCACATGTTCAGCTACACATCAAAAATCAAAACAAAAAAGTGGGTAATATGGCTGGGAGGTAACTCAGTGATAGAACCCTTGCCAAGCATGAGCAAAGCCCTATGTTCCACCTCACTTAAGAAAACAGAAATGAGTTTATATATATTCTATTTGTACAAAACATATTCTTCTTCCTTTTTAAGTGTTTTGCTTTATGAGATAGAGTCACACTATATAGCGCAGGCTGGTTTAAAATTCACTATGCAACCCAGGATGTCTATGAATAAGGATAAGGAGAAAGAGCAGAATCAAGTAGTCTCTTACAGATGTGATACACTGGGTAATTTTGTTTCTTTTATTATTAAAATGTTTGTATAATGTTCAAATGAGTATTTTAAAAATTATACTAATGTAGACATGCTCACCTTTATAAATGAGAGGTTTATCCTTTTCTTCTGTTTTCTCCCTACTAGCCAATTCAAGAAAATCTTCAATCAAGTCCAAAGATATGAGAGATTGGCTAAAAACAAGACTGAAAAAAAAGATTAGTGTCATGGATTCGAAGATTCATCTAGTAAAGTTATTACTAATTATTTATAAATTTGACATAAAATTTTGCAATCAAAATCCAGAAGTCTCAGCAAGACGGACTCTGTAGAAATTAACAAGCTGATTGTAAAATTCATATGAATGCTAAGCACAAAGTAGTCAAAACAATTTTGAAAAAGAAAAGCAAATTGGAAGCCCAACTCTACATAATTTTCATACTTAAAAAGGTACAATAGTCAAGGTAATATACTACTTAAAGGATAGAAACAGATCAATGGACTAAGAGAGTACAGCTATAGACTTATTTCAAGAGTTTGATTATATTCCTCAGAATCAAACACTTCACTGAAGCAAATTATTCTGAACTACAAGCTAAATTCTTGTTGGTTCCTATAATCAGGAACATAAATTTCTAGAAATACTATTTACTTATTTGATATTAATATGGAATTTAAACTATTATGCTGGAAAAAGAGGCTGACATAAATCAATTAGCAATGAGGCTAGTCTAGGAATCACTGAGATAAGTCTCACTGAAAAAAAAGCTAAAGAGTTGTTATGACTAAATAGCAATATACTAGTGGTTTCTCTGTTAACCTATCCTAGTTGCAGATAACATAAAGAAAAATTGTCTACTAATTGATGAAAATGCTCATACCTTCATAAGCCATTTTTCTTTTACCTGCTTTATTAACATTTCATAAGAAAATATTATGGTTCTAAGGCCAAAAAGATGGCTCAATTGAGTAAAGGTGCTTGCCGGCAAGCCTGAAGACCTGAGCTGGATCCTGGGGTCCCATATGGTGGAAGGAGAAAACTGACTCCTGCAAATTGTCCTTTAACCTCCACATGTGTGCTGCATGTGGGAGTATAGAGGAGAGAAAGAAAAAAGACACTTCATCAATATTTTTTATACTCCCCATATGTGGTCTACGACACACACACCACACACACACACACACACACACACACACACACACACACACACACACACACAATAAATGTAATTTAAAAAGTTTTAAAAACGGGCCGGGCGTGGTGGCGCACACCTTTAATCCTAGCACTTGGGAGGCAGAGGCAGGCCGATCTCTGTGAGTTCAAGGCCAGCCTGGTCTACATAGTGAGTTCCGGACAGCTGGGGCTACAGGAAGACCCTGTCTCAAAAAAGACCAAAAAAAAAGTTTTAAAAGCAATCCTTATCAAATTCACACTTAACAAAGATTTAATCAAACTATAATAGTTACACAATAGAAAATAAGTTAGAAAGGTTAACCAGAAACCAGTTGTGTGTTGGAGTTACAAATAACTAGTTCAAAATAGAAAAGTTTATCGTAAGATATAATATTGGTAAGCTGAAATTTATAATAGTAGGAATACTTATACCATGAAACCAGCAAATACTAGAAATCAGGACATTTCTTTTTTGGTTGCTTCTTGCCTTTTCTTTTTATTGTAATTATTGGAAAAATGGGGATGGCTGTTAAACATTTAATGGCATATCACTCATTAAAATTACTGAAATTCTTCTACTTCTGGCCCTGTGAAATACTAAATTTTCATTTTGGTAATCCCAGCACTTGGGAGGCAGAGGCAGGTGGATCTTTGTGAGTTCAAGGCCAGTCTGATCTACATAGTGAGTTCCAGGATAGCTGGGACTACAAGGAGACCCTGTCTCAAAAAAGACCGAAAAAAAAAAAAAAAAAGATGAACTCAGGTCCTCTGGAGGAACAGAAAGTGCTCTTAACTGTTGAGCTATGTATCTTTCCAGCCCCAGAATATAACTTAGTAAGAATCTGACTGATGTACTTTGCTTATTGAGATCATTATTTTGAGATAAGTGCTGAAAAACAGAAGTGTATTCATGATAATGCTCCACAACTGAAATTATGGCATACAAAGAAACAATGAAGGAAATGAATGAAAAAAAATCTAAAAGTGGCCAGGCGTGGTGGCACACACCTTTAATCCCTGCACACAGGAGGCAGAGGTAGGAGAATTTCTGTGAGCTCAAGATCAGTAAGGTCTACATAGTTCCAGGTCAGCCAGGGATACATAGTGAGACCCTGTTCCAAAAAAAAAGTAAAAGTAATAGGAGAAATAAACATATGACTTTTTAAAAATAGGAGTAACATGAAATAGTAATGATGTCTTCAAACTACTTTGAAATGTATTAAGAAAGCACACTGAATTGATAGAGATGAATAGATAAATATGGGCATTTACTATAAAATACTTTATGCTTTTTGTGTGTCTGAAATTTTCCATAATAAAATATTGGGCAAATAATAGCACTAAGCACAATTCCAAACATGTAAAGTTTATAGTGTGAACACTGAAATCACTGAATTTTAAATCAAATAATGATCCAGTTTAGACTAGTGGTGAAACAGGTATAGAGACATGGTGTAAGGTTAAAGATGAAGTAACTAGCCTTGAATCTGAATGTCCCTTATAGGTTCATATTTTGCGAAGCTGTAAGTCTCCACCTCGTGGCACTATTTTGTGAGCTATAGAACCTTTTGGGGGTGGGTCTGGATGGCAGAAGTAGGTCACAGAGGTGGATGGGCTCTATTTGCTTCCTGGTGCAACCCATGTAAATAGTGGTTGCTTCATGCTCCCTCTGCCATGGACAGAATTGCCTGGTCACGCTTACTCCTTTATGATGGACTGAAATCCCTCAGAAACCATGAGTCAAAATAAATCTCTTTTCTTTAAGTTGTTTCTGTCAGGTATTTTGTTAGAGTGATGAGAACATGGGAAATACATATAATATCCAAAAAATTTTGTTTGTGTCACTAATGATCAAACCTAGTTTTGTGCATGCTATACAAACACTCTACCACTGAGCTATACCCCAGTCCCCAAATTAATTTTAAAACATAGAAGTTGAAAGCAGAAAAAAGCATGTCAATAGTAGTAATCATTTCTGACCTTGTAGGAACTCTAAACTCAAATATCCACTTCCTACTTCATATCCTTCATGAATAACTAACGGGCTTTTCCAAAGTTAACACAGCTTTGAAAGAGAACTTTTTATTTGTTGTAATGTACTTATTTACCCTTTAATCTCATTTTAGTAAAACACAACATAATCTATCAATGACTTAAATTGGAAGTCTAGTAGTCATTCTTTGATTATTCTTAATGTCCTATAATTGATCTAGCAATTCCTATTGTTTCTACCCCCAAACATGTTTTTTTACCCACTACTAGCTAACTATTTTGGCATATGCCTGCAATCTTGGTACCTGGGAGGCTAAGAAAGAAAGATTAAGTTCAAGATCATCTTCAAATACACTGTGAGACCCTGATACAGTGAAGAAAACCCCCAAGAATGCACTCAGAAGTAGTTGCTTATACGGAAGGCAGCTGTTTGTATTGGTAAGGCACCATAACAAAGAATCACAACTTTACATGGGAAGAAAATATAACAGATTTGTTTAAATAAACTTTTTAAACAACAGAAATGTTACCAAAATGTTCATTTACATAATAGATATATGAAAGAGCTTACACTTTATCCCCAATTTCTTCTGCCATTCGAAGAATTTCAAAAAGAAGTACCATTTTTCCAGAATGCTCTAAAACCTCAGCATCGGCATCCGTAACAAAATCTTTGTACCAGTCTGGAGCTGGGCTACTTGGGTTAGAGGTGGAAGCAGTTTTACCTAAATAAAATAAATAGAACATAAGTAAATCAGAATAAAACTGAATGAGACCAAAAGAAGCAGAACAACACAGGAAGTAAGAAGGCTAAGAGACTGATGGATATTTAGGAGAGGGGAAGGGAAGCAGACAGACAGATGGACACAAAGAAATAAAGACCACCCCAGGAGAAAGAATTCTATAGCGAGAAAGACACAAAGTGGAGGGAGATGGAAACTGGAGGAAATGCAAAATGACAGCAAGCAAGGAACAAACACTAAGAGAATGCAAGCGAGACATAGGTCCAGCAAGCAGGGATAGGGAGCTCAGAAGAGACCATAAAAGATGGAAATTCCACAGGCTGTGAAAAAAAAACCCTCAAAATATACTGTAAGAAACATGAAGCAATAAAGACAGAAAGAGAGGTCAACTAAGAAAAGCTCTTTGGGGCAGCAAATACTTCACTGGGCTACTAAAATTCTAAAAAACTCAATCAAGGATTGATCTGAAAATCACCTAATCACGTTGAATCATTTTGCTCTTATTTTTCCAACATATTTCACCATAAAAAGAGCAAGAAT